CTTTTTTGCTCGCTGAAATATGGTAACCCTACTTAACCCCTTCCTGCCCATGCTGTAGCCGGGGGACAGGAGGCAGCTGGGTTATGTCGATGGCCAGCAGCAGACTGGAGATGTTAGCTGCCTTTCGACACTGTCCAGGCAGGAAGGGACAAGCTGCTTCCAGCCACAGAGGAGCGGGGGTGGGGGGAGAGGGGAGGGGGAGAGAGATGAGCTCCGCAAAGACATGGGCCAGGTCATCCCTTCCCCCGTCCACCCCCCCATCTCTCCTGCAGCTGGAAACAGCTCCCGTCCCTTCCCACCTGCACAGTGCCGAAAGGCTGCTGCTGGCCACATTCTGATGTGAAACCAGGCAGAAATCTGGGGGGGGCATGTGACCCCGCGCGCCCCTCCCACGTGTTGCCTCGGGAAGGTACCAGGAGAGGCAGGTCTGGCCCAGCCAGTCATGGATATTGGACAGCTCCAGGCAGGGAGGGTCCGGTCAGTCGGTCACCCCCATGTATGAGAGAGGGGTATGGGAGTGTGTGTGTGTAATCTCTCCTCGTGTGTGTCATCCTGCCCCGTGTGAACCCTAAAGCCTTAAAGATAAGAAGGTAAATAAAAAGAATCCAACTAGGCAGTATTTCTGTGTAACAGGGGCTCAGTCCACTTGATGTTAATGTTAACAGTTGTATTGCATAGTACTGACTGATTGCCATTGAACTCTCTTGAATACGAGTCATTTTACCAAGTGTCCCGTATTCAGCATAGGGAAATATGGTCACCCTACATCAGGTATTCAGTAAGGGATATTTCTGGACAAGGTTAGCTCTTGGAGCCCATACTAGCAGGGCAGTTCTTGCAAAGCTTGTAATTTAGTTGGGTTTGTTATTCTGTTGCAAACAATGGAGGCATTGGCACCAACCGCTGTCAGAAAAGAAGAAACACTAATACCCTTGAGAGATTATTGGGACAGTGCAACCATGCCAAGATTCAAAAGGCTTTCCTATTACTGATGCCTCATCACATTCTGGCTGCGCTTATCATTGTAACACACAATGACTTCTTCCCTTAAGAGGAGTCACTAGGACAAAAATTCTTGCTAGAATTCTCTGGAACGCACAACAAAATAATGTCTTGGAGCGAGAGCCTAAGCAACATCTGTACCCTCTGCAGGAGCATTACTATTTGTGTTATGCATTACAACTGTTGGAATTGGGCGGTCGTTAAGAGACAGCCCCTCATCTACCCTCAGCCTACAATCTGTCACTTGCTTGTTGGTGCGGGGAGCAGAAAGGAAATGAACAGTTATCCAAGTGTCCATTGACTTTACAGGGTTTGTGATACTGTCATAGTTGAAAAGGTCCAGTGGAAGCAATATAAAGGGAAAAATAATGAAGGACAATAAAGCCAGGACCCAGAGTTGCGGCTAGTGTATTAACACAGCGATGTGCCGCATTGAAAGTTGAGCGAAATTTTTCAAATTAAAATTTTTTTCGCGGAAAAATGCAGATTTGGATTAATGGAACCATTTCCATGAGTTTGTATGGAATTCACTGAATTGTTTCAATCAAAAACAATCCAATTATTTCATTTTGAAAAGAAACATTTTGAATGTATGATTCAGAACCATTTCAAAATTGACTTCAATGTTATAAAAATTAAAAAAAAATGTCAAAAAACAACCCACTCTAAAATAAAAACAGTCCATTTGGGGTCAAACGAACATTTTGTTTGATCTAAAACGAATGCTTTTTTTTTTTACTTTTGTCATTCATCGAAAAACTCATAAAATGTTCATTTGGTGTTGACCCGAAAATAGTTTTATTTCCCGCTTGTATGGCCAGAAAGCTAAAAATCAGTTAATTTGCACAGCTTTAGCTTCAGTCAAAGACATACCAGGTACATTAAAAGAGCAGTCAAGAGATTAAGGGCCCAATTTTTCTCCCACTGAAGTTGTGTCAGTTGAGGTTGGCTTCAGTGGGAGTAGAATCGCGTTCTAAAGCAGATCGTCCGCTGGTACGAACTGGCAGAGTTCCATTGACTTCCACTGAGCTGTGCTCATTCACACCGGCTGAGGGGCTGGTTGAGAGGATTTAAGGCTGGGATTTTCAAAGGAGCCTGTGGGATTTAAGTACCCAAATTATATTGAAAAATCAATGGAATTTGGGCACCTAACCTCCTTAGGCTCCTTTGAATCCCAGCCAGAGTGTTTTCACTAATACATTGCAAGGACATGCTGCTCACACACTCTTTATATTATACACTTAAACAAATGAAAAGATAGCTTGCGACTCAGAGCTCTTTGCAATGGCTTGTAGCACAACGTGCTTGTCTGTTCTATGAATCACAGAACAATAAAAGGAAGACATCATCTGGTCAAGAGTGGAACTGCATACAGTTTGAAGCTGCTCTGTGTTGGTTAATTAACATCATTGATTAATGTAAATGATCGTTGACTTTGAGGCAGTGTATTATCCATCTATTGCCCAAATCCAATTGAAATCCATTACACAACCCTGTGTGGCATTAGAAAACCAGTGCTTGAGATCAGTGGCAGCTGTGCCTTTAAAATGCTACCCAAGGATTGCTATGAGTGACTCTTCTTAGCAAAAATGGTGGGGATTGGCAGGGTCAGGCACCAGGCAGCGTTCCCCTGGAGTACTTACTCTTCAGCTTGCTGTTGTGAGAAGCTTCCTGAACATTTGCCTTTCTTTAACATTCTTTGCAGCAAACTTCTTCATGTTAATGTTGCCTCTCTAGTTGTTTTGCATCTTTTTCCCCGCCCAGGTCCCTTCCTGAGCGAGGTGGACTAGCAAGGTACTTGTATGGCCCTCTGTCAGCAGTCAATCTCACTCAGGTTAATTACTGCATCATCACAACGCCCTATCGGTAGGAAAACGCTGTTATCCCCATTTTAAAGAAGAGGGACTCAGGCACAGATTGATTAAGGGACTTGCCCAGGGTCACGCAGGAAGTGCATGGCAGAATCAGAATTTCCAGCAAACTGAAAAAAATACATCACGTGGCCAGTTCTGGGCCAGTGGCTTCATCACAAGTCCCTCCTTCCTCTCCCATAGATTTTGGTGCCTGGGATCTCCCGAGTTCTGTTTCTGTCTCTTCAAGTTCTGGTCATTTATTTCGGCATCTAAGAGGTAGCTGAGCCTTTTTGCCAGTTTAGCGCCAACTGTGAGCGCTGAGCATTTATTTTTTGAGCAGATCTGGCCCCTAGATGACAAGCAGTTGGGGCAGGACGACGTGCTGTTTCTCTGCTGTGTGAGGCGCCCAGCGTGCCTTTGCCTGTTGTGTACACACAAGAGAGCATAGGCGCTTACTCCGTGGGTGCTCCGGGGCTGGAGCACCTATGGGAAAAAAATAGTGGGTGCTCAGCCGGCACCAGCCACCTGCTGATCAGCTGTTCGGCGTCCCCCGCCCATCAGCTGTTTGGTAACGGGCGGGAGGTGCTGGGTGAGGGGGTGGAATGGGGGGTGAAGAGTTGGAGAAAGGATGGGGCCTTGGGGAAAGGGGTGGAGAGGGGGTGTGGCCTCAGGGTGGAGCACCCACCCAGAAAAATGCAAGTCGGCGCCTGTGCAAGAGAGACACGGTGTGTGAGGTAATATCTTGTATCGGACCCACTTCTGTTGGTGAAAGAGACAAGCTTTCGGGGTGACCTGAAGAGCTCTGTGTCTGTGTCCTTCTAATGTCCTGGGACCAACATGGCTACAACAACACTGTATAGCATATGCAGTACAGTTCCTATCCAACCTCCCCCACCAGTGCTGGTGGCTGTGGGAGGAAAAAGGGAGAGCTCAGGCAGCTTCTATTGGCCTGCTGATTTCTCTTTCCCTCCCACAGCCCTGTCCTAGACAGAGTAGAGTCTTGGCAACTTCAGTCCAATGGAGAAGCAGAGAGCTGTTTTTCCTGGATACCACACTCCAGGTCTGTCGCACAGACTCAAGACAGACACAGTGAGAGGGAGGTAAGAGCCTTATTGCCTTTCCTTCATCTTCTCATTTCCCTCGTTCACCAGTTTCGATTTCGGAGCCCGTGGCCTTTCTAAGCAAGGCTAGTTCTTTTCTTCCTGGATGTTTTTCAGCATTTGCTTAGTCCATTAACAGCAGGAGACATTTTCTAGAAGCCAAAGTGAGATGACTGTATACTGGCTCCATGTCGTACTTTAGGGCTTGTGTCCACACACAAATTGCTAAATCAGTTTCTTAATTGGTTTAGTTAAATCAGTATGCCCCCTTGTGTAACCTCATAAATCAGTGTCAGAGTGAGTGATCTTGATTTAGTTTAACTTGGTAACAAACTGAACTAAAGATTCTATATCCACACTAGGGGCTTGAAGGGACTTAACTAATCAGTTTAGAAATTGATTTACTTCAGTTGGTGCAATTTCAGCATGTAAACCGGGCCTCTGTCGCAAATCCAGACTAATTGCATCAACTTCACTGGTAGTTGCTCAGTGTTCAGCATTTCTGAAAATCAAGTCATTTATTTAGTCTCCCAAAGCCATATTTAGGTCTAACTTTGGGCAGCCATTTTTGAAAATCTTGGAGATACAATTTTTGTTAATTTGAAGAAGCTTTTTTCTTGTGCTTCTTCACTTTTCAGCCCCTGTAGTTAGAGCTATAAAGGTTAAAAAAAAATCCAGTAAATTTTCTCTGACCAGTTTAAAATGCAATGGGAAAACTCCCCACGCAATAGTAAATGAGCCCATGTATCATCATTACAGAATTAGCAACCGTAGTTCTGAAAAAGGTCAAACAAGGAAAACGACTTTAATCATCTCCTACAGTTAATTTATATCCCAAATAATGTTATTTCATCACTATCACCTGAATAATGTTTGAAATCAAAATAATTTCAACAGATTTTACAGGAAGAAAGATTCCTTTGATACTTTGCCTTCCTTTTGTTTTATAAATTCTTTCATCGGACCTGTATATAAAAAACGTTATATGTGATTTACACTGTATCTTTAAAGTTTCCTCTAATCTTTTTACCAGTATGCAAGGCATTAATGATATAAGCAGGTGTTCCCTGTGCTAAGAATGGAAATATCACTCATTTTATTATTATTATTTAACATTTATACTAAATCAACATCTATCGGCCTTACACAGCTCAGGGCCACGTTTTGCTGGCTGCTATACACACACAGAATAAATTACAGTTCCTGCCCCAAAGATATTCCAGTTTAAAAGACTAGACTTAGTGGGTGATTGAAACAAAGCAGTGGATCAATTTTTCTTTGAAGCTATAAAAAACAAAATCAAACATTGCCATTTATTTTAGTATCTTCCCAACTCTAACTGGATGTGATTTCATTTCCAGAATTATTTTTGTAAAATCACTATATTTAAAGACAGGAAATCTTTAAATAAAGATTCAGTTTAAATCTTTTAAATCAATTTAAAGCAATTTTTCTTTTCAATAATCATGTCCCAGAATGAAACAGTCTTTTGTCTTCAAATGGTGTTTCAGGTCGCGAGGTTTGGACTATGGGTGTCTATGCAAGTTATTTCCACAAGAGCGAAGGACAAATGCTTATAGACCTGACAGATCCTTCTCAGGCAAACTGGATTACAACACACGCGGAGGCCTGCAAAAGTAAGCTGATTTTTTTTTAAGCTTGATTCTAAGGGCCTCCTGTGAGGTGCTGACCTTCCAGTGTCTTCTGCTCACAGTCCAAGTTTCACCCCCGCCCCCCAACATGACAGGTGTGACGGAGTAGGGAGTATTAACCTGGGAATGTGCATGGGAGTTTTACTAGTTTACTGGCATCTGCTAACACAGGGTGTGCCTTTATTTCCCTGGGATGCTGCACCAATACTAGATGGTGATGGGAAATAAGGGGGTGACTTCACTGAGGGATGATACCTGACGGCCAGCATGTAAGCGATGGCGGCTGCTCTTCATAAGCTGAGCCCAGGAGGGGGCTGGTGCCAGGTGATACCTTCTGCCCGGGAAACTGGACAAAGCCTGGAGGAGGGGCTGGGGGTGTGGCTGGGGGAGGCAGCAGGAAGGGATTTCAATTTGGAGCTGTGCTGGGGAGACGGGGAGAGGCCCAGAACCTGTGTCTGGGCTCCCCACCCCCCAAGAGGGACCTGACTGAGGGGTCCTGTTTTCTGTTCCTACAAGCTCTGTTTTAGCCTGTGTTCCTGTCGTCTAATAAACCTTCTGTTTTACTGGCTGGCTGAGAGTCATGGTGAATTGCAGGAAGTGGGGGGTGCAGGGCCCTGACTCCCCCACACTCCATGACAACTGGTGGGTGAGGTGGGATGTACTGCACCCTGTGGATGGCGCTTCCTGCAGTAAGTGACTGGGGAGCAGTAAAATGAAGGAGGATTGACAAAGACCAGGAGTGCTGAAGGCTCAGAGAGGAGCAGTTTCAGGAGGCAGAGGAGCTACACTTAACCCCTGGGAGTGTGTGACCAGCATGAAGGACTGTTGCAATAATGGGGTCCCCCTGGGGACTGCGGGGAGTGATTTCAGGGGTGGAGGAGCCTGCGGCTTGACCCTGGGAGAGAGGTGGTGACCCGGAGAAGGGCTGGCACAGTCGGGGCTCTTCCTGGAAACCGTGGGGAGCTGACAACTTGGGAACAGCAACTTGGGAACAGTGGGAAAATGTATAACCATCTCCTTAAGAGGGACCTTGTAGAGCTGTGCAAGGAGAGGGGGCTTCACAGAGAGAAGGGCACCAAAGCACAGTTGATGGCCCAGCTGGAAGAGGAGGATCACTCGGAGGAGCTGATCACCCTGAGGGAAGCAGCCCGGCAGATGCAGCGCCGGCACCGGTGTCTGTCCCGGCTGGGAGTGGTCAGACTGCTGCCAAGGGCACTCCGAGGCCCCTCCTGCGTATGGCTAGGGGAGGGGCTGGAAGCAGCCAGGTGAACCCCAGGGACACCATGACCCCCGCAGATAGCAGGGGATCCTCACGGCCCAGCTCCCCGTCACTGGAGCTGAGGCAGCTGGAATGGGAGAGGGAGATAAAACTGAAAGAGCTGGAGGGTCGGGAGAAACAGCGGCAGCATGAGCTGGAGTTGGCAAAGCTGAGGATCAGAGAGCCCCCAGCTGCGGTGAGTGAGGGGGGGGACCCAGGACTACCTGGAACTTTGATAAGTGCATCCTGTCCCAGCGTAAGGAAGGGGAGGACGTAGATGAATTCCTGATGGCCTTTGAGAAGGCCTGTGGGCTGCACAGAGTTGATCCTGGAGACAGGCTCCAGTTTCTCACCCCCTTACTGGACCCCAAAGCCGTAGGGATGTACAGACGAATGGAACTGGTGGAGGCAGGGGACTATGAACTGTGCAAAAAGGCCCTGTTACGCAAGTTTGGGATGACTCCCGAGGCGTACTGGAAAAAGTTCCGGAGTCAGCGTAAAACCCCTGAGGACACATATCTGGAACTGATCCTCTGAATGGAGGGAAATGTCCACAAGTGGGCAGATGGGGCCCAGACTAAGGAGGACATGGTTAAACTGATTGTACTGGAGCACCTGTATGAACATTGCCCATCCAACCCGAGGATATGGTTGGTGGACAAAAAGCCAGAGGACCTGCCAGTCAGGGGGTAGAACGGAGGAGTCCCAGAAGAATAAGCCCACCATGGTGCAGAGAGAGAGTCACCCTGGGACCCCTGAAAGCAGGAATGTGGAGAATCCCCTCTCCAGGGGAACAACCGGCATCAGGACCAATCGACCCGCTCAAGGAGACCAACGAGACATGAGCTGCTATTACTGTGGCCAGAGAGGCCACATATGGACCCAGTGCTCCAAGCTCAAGGACAGACTGAGCCGACCAAACCCACCCAGGGTTAACTGGGTAGGGACCAGCCGGAGGAGGGGCCGGCTTCCCAGGCAGGAGAGGCTGGCAGCTTTCCAACTGCTCAGGAGGGAGGAGTTTCCCAGACCAGCTCCTCTGGGGGGGCTGGATGCTCCAGACTCAAGGTTCTCCGTTTACAGGATGGGCATGGGACTGTCCCTGCAGAGCAAGTACCTTGTTCCCCTGGAGGTGGATGGGAGGAAGGTCAATGGATACTGGGACATGGGCGCGGAGGTGACGCTGGCCCGGCCCGAGGTGGTGGCCCCACATTGGGTGGTGCCCGATACCTACCTGACCCTGACGGATGTGGGTGGGACCCCATTCAAGGTGCCCGTGGTGAGGGTACATCTGAAATGGGGGGCCAAGGAGGGCCCCAAGGACATGGGGGTGCACCATTTGCCCACTAAGTGTTAATGGGGGGGGCTGACCTAGAGGATTGGCCAAGCAACCCCCAGAATGCCCTGGTCGTGACCTGTAGCCAGAGCCAGCGAGGGGCCCTACACCCTGACATCAGGGAGGGTACCTCACCGAGGCGCAGGACCCTACCCTGGTGAGGAGGGAATGCCCAGGGACAAGGCTCAGAGGGGCGGTGGCTTCAGACCCAGCCGGCGACAGGGAGCAGGTCCCCATCCCTTCCCCAGCCTCTGAGTTCCAGGCCGAGTTGCAGAAAGATCCCTCCTTGCAGAAGCTAAGGGATCTGGCCAACCTCAGTACGGCACAGACCATGGGGAGAGACTGCCAGGAGAGGTTCCTGTGGGAGAAGGGATTCCTGTACCGAGAATGGGCTCCTCCAGGGGAAGTGGAGTTGTGGGGGATGTGGAGGCAGCTGGTGGTCCCCCAGAAGTACCACCACAAGCTACTGTACTGGCCCATGACATCCCTCTCTCAGGACACCAGGGAATCCGGTGCACCAGACAGAGGCTGCTACAAAACTTTTACTACCTGGAGTCTTTAATACTGTCCAACACTATTGCTGAACCTGTGACCCCGTCAGAGCGGGTTAGGCTACTAGCTCTACTTCTGAGATGTCAATTTTTGTTTGATTTGCTTTGTACATTGCCACGTTCATATAAAACATGAGTATTATGGTCTCTTTCAATATTCTATGGGAATGTCATTATTTTAGTCGCCACAGAGTTCCAGAACCATTGTGTCAGCATTTTACACTTTCTGCTCTTACAATATAAAGGCCATGCCTTTTCCGAAAGGTCAATATGTACTTCACTTCCATCAAACTAGCTCTTAAGGAAAGGTCAAGCCCTCCATGAAGAATATCTCAGAGTACTTTGTTATACAAATATCCCCATGCATATTTGTGTGGGACACCTTCATTAACAGGCAGGCTGTGCATTTGATTTAGCAGAAAATCCAATAAAACTGAGTAGCTGTATTTTTAATTGTATTTACATTTTTCACAGGCTTGTATAAAGCCATTTTATGGGGCCAGAATGACCCACAGTCTGTTCTTCTAGTATTTTATATTATCCAGGGTTTACAGTACAGGGATATCTTGCTTTGCCAGGCCCAGGAGGCAACTGTAGTGATGACACTCCCATGATGAACCATGTGGCTTGATTAGAGAGAAGACCCTGTTGCATCCTGGAGACATAGTCTGGCCAGGGAGCCAGGCCTGCCCATAGGCCACAATGAGGGCATGAAGCACCCTGAAGCAACGCAACACCACAAGGAGATGCAATTTAACGTCAAATTGATACAAAATGAAATATTTCATTTCAGCTTTCCCAAGAGAAAATTGGAAATTTTTAATTTTTGTGGAAACTGCATTTTCTGTTGAAAAATCATTTTTGATGGAAAATTATTGACCCGCTTTTCCTGGTATGGGATACCATTTCATAGAATCATAGAATATCAGGGTTGGAAGGGACCTCAGGAGGTCATCTAGTCCAACCCCCTGCTCAAAGCAGGACCAATCCCCAACTAAATCATCCCAGCCAGGGCTTTGTCAAGCCTGACCTTAAAAACTTCCAAGGAAGGAGATTCCACCACCTCCCTAGGTAACCCATTCCAGTGCTTCACCACCCTCCTAATGAAATTTTTTTCCCTAATATCCAACCAAAACCTCCCCCACTGCAACTTGAGACCATTACTCCTTGTTCTGTCATCTGGTACCACTGAGAACAGTCTAGATCCATCCTCTTTGGAACCCCCTTTCAGGTAGTTGAAAGCAGCTATCAAATTCCCGCCTCATTCTTCTCTTCTGCAGACTAAACAATCCCAGTTCCCTCAGCCGCTCCTCATAAGTCATGTGCTCCAGGCCCCTAATCATTTTTGTTGCCCTCCGCTGGACTCTTTCCAATTTTTCCACATCCTTCTTGTACTGTGGGACCCAAACTGGACACAGTACTCCAGATGAGACCTCATCAATGTCGAATAGAGGGGAATGATCACGGCCCTCGATCTGCTGGCAATGCCCCTACTTATACAGTCCAAAATGCCATTAACCTTCTTGGCAACAAGGGCACACCATCGACTCATATCCAGCGTCTCGTCCACTGTAACCCCTAGGTCCTTTTCTGCAGAACTGCTGCCTAGCCATTCGGTCCCTAGTCTGTAACAGTGAATGGGATCCTTCTGTCCTAAGTGCAGGACTCTGCACATGTCCTTGTTGAACCTCATCAGATTTCTTTTGGACCAATCCTCTAATTTGTCTAGGTCCCTCTGTATCCGATCCCTACCCTCCAGCATATCTACCACTCCTCCCAGTTTAGTGTCATCTGCAAACTTGCTGAGGATGCAGTCCATGCCTTTCTCCAGATCATTAATGAA